TACCAGGATGGTAAAGCCCAAACTTTACAATTTAATGTGGAAGATCTTTTTTTTTTCACTTAACACTTGTTAGCATAACACTTAGATAAGAATGAGTTGACTTTGTGCAGACCAGAATTAGTCAATTCTATTTTCATAGGCTTGTCATCACAAAAATGCCAAGTAATTGCACATGCTTAAATTAGTGTTTTACATTTACACAATAAGGTAAATGTAATTCAGAACATCCAATGTGTTCACAGGGTCTAGGGAAAAATGAAAATTGAAGGGTTTTTTTTATTATTATGATTATAGTTAAATAAGGTGTTATGCTTTTTACTTCAGGGGATATTCAGTTAGGTTAGATCATGCACCCTTGTAGCAACAGGTCAATTATAAAGTGATATATTGGTCACTTTTATTGACAAGTAAAGATTAGTCATACATTACTGAAGATGGAAGCTGGGCTAAGCTAGGTCAGCGCTACCCTGTAAGATCATAGTAAATCCCCATGGCAGTAGAAAAGAGGTCACAGGATTTCCCTTGAAAACAATACGGAAACACAGTAAGGAAACTGTGCTCAGTGTGTTCTTAAAGAATGTTCTGTAGTAGGACTTAAGTCCAAGAGCTCAGTTGACAAGCTTCTGGGCTTTAAGTGTTATACCTCATTTGTTATTGACAGCTGTTTGTTGTAGTGCAGACAGCATTGTTTTTCTAAGGCCTGGTTCACACCAATGCAGTTTTGCTTTTGAACCATTTTTGCAATGCTTTTTGCAATTCCCTTTTTTGTTTTTATACTTTTTTTATGCGTTTGTACTGCATTTTGTTTTTTTTCAGCTTTTTTTTGGAAATGTTTTTGTAGCTGGGCAGAATACCAGCAAAAAATTAGGCAAAAATGCAGCAAAACACACTACATGTGTTTCATCAGTGTCTCCATTGAACTCTGTTGTAGCAAAACTCTGCTTTTTGCATTTAAAAAAGACCCTGGCCCTTTCCAAAAATGCAACTGCTCAAAAAAGCATAGATGTGAATGTGTCCCATAGGAAACCATGTTAAATGGACTGTAATGCGTTTCTGCACACAGCAAAAATCACAAAAAAAAATGCACTGGTGTGAACCAGGTTTAAAATGGTGCAAAGCCTGGGAACAGTTTCTGGGTGCTAATAATAAATGAAGTGCGGCGCTACAGATGATTTACATATAGATGCAAAACACATATAAGAATAAAATCAACAGTCCAATCCACAAGGCTTGAAATATAGGGAGTGAGCCCCTCTCCCCTGGATCCACAACACTTCTATGGATATCTCAAAAAACAGCCAAGTGGAAAGAGGAAGAATCCTTCAACACCAACAAACACACTGCCTCTTACTGGATAGTTTTTGACCCCCAATTATGGATGGGTCAAATTGCGCTGTATGAAACCCAAAAGCAAGCTGTGGATATGGGTGTTCTTTGATTCCAAATCTTCACACCAAACAAAGTTCAAGGAAAAACCTAAAAAAGAATTCTCCTCATAAAGGACAATCCAATTCAAAAGATGAAAGGAATCCTCATAGCGTAGTATTTTGTTACTACGTTTGAGGCAATAAATTTCATATAAAATACTGCACTATGATGTATGGGCACCATAAGTTAGAGATCTGAGCTGCTCCCCCAGCTGTAAGGACATCTCTAAAAGAAGACCAAGGTACAGTATTTCTATTTGTGAAAAGCACATATGCTCAATGCTTTTCTCTGTTCAAAGAGAGAAATTAAGAAAGCAATTAACCCCACATGGGTTGAGTTCCAACATTACAGAGGATGAGCAGATGTTGACCTACTTATCCTTTTATGGGAAATATCGTCCCTTTGTGCTTAGCATTTGAATTTACAGGACATGTGAGGTCTCTCTTAACAACTGGAAGTATGGCCAGATGCTGTTGAGTGCCAATGTATAAGGCTCGTATGCAAGCACAGTTCACTTTGACTCCATTTTCCACAACTCTCTGTATTCCTGAACACTATTATGCAGTATAATGCAGGCCATACAAGGTCTGAATTCTGAACAATTTTTCATCCGAAAATCGGAAACGTTGTTCGCTCGGTAATCCGATGGTGCCATCATTGATTTTGAAAATTGGCCAACCAAGTCATGAAGTTAACTCCATTTAACATGCAAAACTTCTGTTTCTTCCGGTTCATGCGCATATTCTTTTTGGAAAATGATCGTACGATTTGACCGTCATTGAGTCGAAAATCGGTTGTTTTTCACGAATTTTCCAACATGCCCGATCACCGAAAAGGAGAGGAACCAAGAAAATCGGCCGGTGCCATTGACCCACTAACAGAGCGAAAATTGGCCGATTATTCTTAGGTCCGATTTTCGGATGAAAAATCAGTCAATTTTCTACCCATGTATGGCCGGCCTAAGTCCCTCAGCTTTCCTCCCCCAGGAGCTCAGACAAACCACACCTGAGTAGAGGGCAAGTGATCTGCAGCCAGGTGAAAAGCTCTCCGATGTCAGAACCAGCATGCAGGCAGCCAAGCTGGAGCCTAATAACACACAGCTTCTACAGAAGGCCCAGCTACTGTGGGGAGCCTTTCCAATTGCTACCAGTTCCCATGTGCTGACCCTTTGTCTTTGGACCTTAGATGTTGCTGTTTACTTGTGTTTCAAGAGCTTCCCTGTAGTGGAGTGAGGGACACTGTTTCTGCGCATAATCACAACTAGCTGTGTTCAGAACTGATTTACTGAACTAACTGGACTATATTGTTGAAAGATTTTGCAGAAACTATGATGTGCAGCCAAGTTACCCTGACTGAGTCACAGAGATATTACTGTGAAGAATCAATGTTTCTGCAGCTTTCATAACTAGGCCCTGCAGTGTATGCATGTTCTTTGCCATCCTGGCCCTGCTTTTCATTATTCTGCAGTGTATGCATGCTCTTTGCCATCTAGAACCTTTTTAGGCTCATGAACATACAGCTTAAAGTAGACTTCCACCAAAAGTGGAAGCTCCGCTTGTTTACCTCCTCCCCCCCCTCCACTACCCTATTTGGCACTTTTTGGGGTAGAGTGGATACCAGGTTTTGACAGGTACCCTCTCCCATTTCTGACACAGTTTGCTGCAGTGAAGTGAGCCAGAAGTTCAGCCCACTCCTTCCTCCCGCAGTCTTCTGGGACATTTCACAGGTCCCAGAAAACTGCCGAAATAATCAGAATGCGCAGCACGAATTACACATGCACAGTGGGCACCTGGCTGAGAAGCCGCAAGCTGTCACAGCCTGGTGCCCACAACTGAGATGCCGGAACCAGGGAGAGGAGAGGGAGAGAAAGGACGGCACAAGGGAGCATATCACTGGACCTTGGGACAGTTGAGTATGTGTTTATTAAAAGTCAGCAGCTACAGTTTTTGTAGCTGCTAACTCTTAATAAACACAAAAATTTCTGGAACTCCGCTTTAAAAAAACACAGCTTATACAGGCATTTAGTCTTTTTTTTTTTACGCCTGTTAAAAGCACCTCTGTGTTAGCCTATGTGGCCATGCATTTACTCATGTATTTGAAGAGGAGTGTTTACAGGCAGAAAAAAACCTACAAAAAGTATGTTCTGAGAGGAGCTTAAGAGTAGAAAAAAAAAACACACCTATGCACCTAAACGCAGCTAAAAGCACATTTATGTGCACATATATGCATTCCAAAAGCAAGCATAAATGAATTTTCTGGCCAGTAAAATGCAATTGTGTTCAAATGCTGTATGCACATAAATACAGTTGTGTTCAAAATAATAGCAGTGTGTTGAAAAAAGTGAAAAAAGCTCAAAATCCTTCTAATAGCTTTTATTTCCATACACACAAATGCATTGGGAACACTACACATTCTATTCCAAATCAAAACATGAAGAAAAATATATCAAATTTGTATTGTTCCTCTAAAATTGAAGAAAAGTAAATATTCAAAAAAATAGCAGTGTTTGTATTCTTCTTTACAAACTCAAATAAACTGGAAAATGTTTGAAGATTTTGCTCTCCTTTGAATCACTTAATTAATATTTAGTTGTATAAGCACTGTTTCTGAGAACTGCTGTACATCTGTGTTGCATGGAGTCAACCAACTTCTGGCACCTGTGAACAGGTATTCTAGCCCAGGATGATTGGACTACATTTCACAGTTCTTCTCTATATCTTGGTTTTGCCTCAAAAACTGCATTTTTGATGTCACCCCACACGTTTTCTATTGGATTAAGATCTGGGGATTGGGCTGGCCACTCCATAACGTCAATCTTGTTGGTCTGGAACCAAGATGTTGCACGTTTACTGGTGTGTTTGGGGTCGTTGTCTTATTGGAACACCCATTTCAAGGGCATTTCCTCTTCAGCATAAGGCAGCATGACCTCTTCAAGTATTCTGATGTATTCAAACTGATCCATGATCTCTGGTATGCGATAAATAGGCCCAACACCGTAGTATGAGAAACATCCCCATATCATGATGCTTACGCAACCATGCTTCACTGTCTTCACAGTGTACTGTGGCTTGAATTCAGTGTTTGGGGGTCGTCTGACAAACTGTCTCCGGCCACTAGACCCAAAAAGAACAATCTTACTTTCATCAGTCCACAAAATGTTGCTCCATTTCTCTTTAGGCCAGTCAATGTGCTCTTTGGCAACTTGTAACCTCTTCAGCATGTCTTTTTTTCAACAGTGGGACTTTGCGGGGGCTTCCTGAAGATAGCTTGGCTTCACATAGTCATCTTCTAATTGTAACAGTACTCACAGGTAACTTTAGACCTTCTTTGATCTTCCTGGAGCTGATTGTTGGCTGAGTCCTTGCCATTTTGGCTATTCTATCCATTTGAATGGCAGTTTTTTGCTTTCTTTTTTAACGTCTTTCAGGTTTTGGTTGCCATTTTAAAGCATTTGCGATCATTTTAGCTGAGCAGCCTATCATTTTCTGCACTTTTTTATATGTTATATATGTATATATGTCACGCTGACAGCTCAAGAGGAGAGGATAGCCGGTAATAGGCATTCTGCAGAGAGGACATGTACACTGATGATCAGGGCACTGATGATCAGTGTGCCCTGATGATCAGTGTAGCCCCAGCAGTGCCACCTGTTAGTGCCCATCAATGCCACCTGTCATTGCCCATCAGTGCCTCATCAATGCCACCTGCCAGTGCCGATCAGTGCCTCATCAATGCCACACATCAGTGCCTACCAGTGCCCATCTGAGCTGTCTTTCAGTGTCACTTATCGGTGCCAGTCAGTGCCACATATCAATGCCACCTATCAGTGCCAGTCAGTGCCGCCTGTCAGTGTGCATCAGTGCCGCCTATCAGTGCCGCCTATCAGTGCCTTATATGAGTGCTGCCTTTCAGTGCCCATCAGTGATGCCTGTCAGTGCCACTTACCAGTGCCTCCTCATCAGTGCCCATCACTGCAACCTCACTAGCGCACATCAGTGAAGGAGAGAAATAACGTATATACAAAATTTTATAACAAAAACTAAGGAAAAACATTTTTTTTTTTCAGTTGTTTTTGGTTTGTTTAGCAAAAAATAAAAAACCCAGAGGTGATTAAATACCACCAAAATAAAGCTCTGTCTAAAAAAATTATAAAATTGTCATATGGGTACACTGTTGCATGACCACGCAATTGTCATTCAAAGTGTGACAGCACTGAAAGCTGAAAACTGGCCTGGGCAGGAAGGGGGTCTAAGTGCCCAGTAGGAAAGTGGTTAAAAGAGCATCTAGAGCACATTCAGCAGGTCAAACTCATCATAAAACTATATACTATAGCTTTAAACCCCCAGACCAGAATCATCAATCAATTCTTTGTGAATGCACCCTCCTTCCGGATCCAGTTTCGAATGGACTAAATCTCTACCTGTAGCACAATAGTGGCTTGCAATGAGCTCTGTTGTAATTCTCATGTTGGCCTCTAGTCCATATTGTGCATGCTTCATAGTGCACGTCCCTCTCTGGAACGCATGCCCACTATGCCAAACCAGATTTGTCCTGCTGTGTTTGCACTAGCTTATACTTGTTTTTTATACACTCTCTCATATCATTGTGGTGGGGCTATGTTAACTCAGCGCTGCACTTATTGTTATATGCACATAAATGCATGTGCAATACGTGGATTTTAGTGTTTTTTTTTATGCTGTGACTTCCTGTCAGCAGTTCTGGCATTCAGAGGGGCTTTTTTAGATGCCCCTCTGTGCATGAGGCCTATTGCATTATTGTTTATAACTTCACACAAGTTAAACTTAAAGGAATAACTCTCCAGATAGGCAAAAAAACACCCAGTAGTACACACCCCTGCACAAAACACTAAACCGTTATTACATTTGTGAAATTCCTTATTATTTAGGAGAAAAATCTAATTGAATTGTCATTACCTCTTCTCTTTATTTCAGAAGGAGGAGGTGTAACAGCAGGGACTACATCATACCCTCTCCTCTCTCTCTGCAGTAAAAGGAAACTGCAGTTCCCATCAACCACAGGGAATTGTAGTGAATATGGGTGGTTAAACTGCATGTTGAATGTGTCTGAGAGTTTCAGTGTGTCCACCACTGTAAGTGGGGCTGAATTACATCACTGCTTCCTGAAGAAAGAACTACAGAAGGGATGTGCCAAGACCAGTAGCTGGGGGAATAGGAATCATAGCAGCCACTGGTCTTACAAACAGGAAACCAAAGAGAATTAACTGTTTGATTTGAAAATGAAATGTTATTTCAGAGCACCTACTGAGTGAACAACTTATTCAGTGAAGGTAGGAAGCCAGCATCAAGGATATATTAAGAAGTTCTTGCCCAGAATTCTGCTTTAAGGTGGCCATAGATGGTTGGTATTTTTTTGTTCAGCAGAAAAAAAAAAGAATTGATTTGTCCATTCACACATACAGGGCAGATGTTGGGATTTTCCCCCCCCCCCCCACATTGGCCAGTGGGATATTACATTCTGACGGCGTGACCTGCTGCTGTCAGAATACACTGATCAGTGGCTGAAGCTGATTGGCTGCAGTCACAGATCAGTAACATTTTTCCAGCAGGTCCAATCAGCAGAAGCCTGTCAAACAATTAACTTCTGTAGAGCAAGGATGGCCACATGCTGATCGAATATCAGATGGTCCTTGCTAAGCTGGCCAAATTCCATCAGTGAATGGCCAGCTTTTCTCCCTGTTTTGTCATTCATCTGCTTGCCTATTCTGTTAAAGTGCCACTCTCCTCTTGTGAAGGTTTATTGATCTGGTTTGAATATCAAGTTCAAATGCTTTTGCTTGTGAGGTCTACATTACGTTCAACAGACAGCTTGACCTTTTTAGTGTATAATGTACCGTTTTCCTTCTTTGTGTTTTATCCTATTTTTTTTCCAGGAAAAAGGAATAAATATTTATGTGAATTATCTAAGTACCCTATAGGAGCTAGGATTGCTATAGCTATTCCAGGCACATTCTGGTGGGGCTGTGGAATTATCAGAGTAATTGTTCATTCTGTTTGCATGTTCTCCATCCAGAAATAAAGGCTCTTGACTGTAAGACCCAGTTCACATAGGATTCAGCTTGTAAACATTGGTCTGTACAGCAATGTGCTCAGCAAACAATCTGCAAAGCACTTAAGCTATTGAGCAGCATTACAACCAGACAGTAGACATATGCGTTTCATTTCAATTTGTTTTTCAAATGAATTTGGAGATTCAGATGTATATGAATTCCAAATGGGCATAGTAACGAATGTCAACTAATCCGAAAAAAACGTTTTAACGAAATTACCTAATGCATTTGTTTTATTCTGATGACATCACATGATGCGATAGTAGTTCAGGCCAATGGGGAGATTAATTTAATTTTCAAAGTTGTCTGATAATTCGGATAATGAATAGATCCGAATTTTACTCCATTAATTCAGATGCACATGACGCCAGTCGATATTGTCCAATCAGCTCACATCTTGGGAGAATGGACTAGCGTCCGAAAATATTGAAACCTTCCTGTTCAAATCAATTTGATAGTATATTGAATATCTTCCTGAAAGGCTACAACATTTTTCCAGCTCAACAAATATATGAAACAATTGCCGAAGATACAAAACAAATTCCAAAAACAAATCAGGTCAACATAACGAATATGCCAAAATGAAACCCTTCAATGAACGAATGCTTCTGAAACAAAATTAAAATTTCCATTGTGCACGTGTCTACCAAACAGCCTGCATTTTCAGAGGAAACTCATGAAAAACACTTAGACACTTGTGGCTTTATATGAAGCTTACCTGTAGGTACAAGCAGGGGCGGACTGACCATTTGGAAACTTGGGCACTGCTTGAGGGACCAGGGTCAGTAGGGGGCCCCATGAGATGCCCCTGGTACCTTTTTTATAGGCTTTTTTGAGTTTGGGCAAGGACACAGGGGTCCCATGATTCCCTATTGGCCGGGGGCCCCATGAGTTGTCAGTCCGCCCCTGGGTACAAGTAATATCTACTAAATGTACAATGTTTAGGAGATATTCAATGTCTCTGCAGTCAGTGACACCACTGGTGCATGCACTCTGAAGGGACAGCATACTCATGCCATCCATTCAGAACTCTGTGCTGTGGCTCCTGTTCACATGTGTAAGAGTGACATCATTGCGGCCATTTAAACAGCTGGAGCCCGCAAACCCAGAAGGAAAACCAGTTGAAGATGGAAGCCCTGGCAGTGGTGCGAACACTTCACTGGAGGGTTTAGTTTTTAGGCTCCATGCACACTGGGCATTTTGATAACGCTGGTATTGTTAGCTATGTAAAGTCACGTTAAAAATGTGCATTTTTTGCATTAGCGTTTAGCTGCGTTTTGCCGCTGTTAGCTGTGTTTAACCTTGTTTTTCTGCATTTGTGTTTTTTTTACCCCCAAAAAATTTTTTGGTGCCAAAAAAAGTCCAAAAATGCTGGTTTGCAGCGTTTTAATGCATTTTGCCATGTTTTTCAGCGTTTTTTTTTTTCAGTGTTAGAGCATTTTTACAGCTAAAAAACTTCTCTAGAAACCCACTAGTCCTGGGTTTTTTTTCCAGCCAAAAAAACTTCCCAGCCAAAAAACACTGATTACAGTTTATGTGTCCATGGACACATAGCATAACATGCTGGGGGGTTTACTGGCTGTAGAGAAAACATCAAAAGCCAAAAACAGCCGCTGTAAAAAAGTCAGGTGTGCAGGAGGACTGAAGGTCAGCCTATCATAATGTGCTAGTGTGGGGCAGTTTACTACTGCTTTAAGCTGGTGCAAGTTGTGTTAAAACATAAGCTTGAGCAAAGAATATTACTGTAGCTCAAAACGCACGTTTTTTGTTGTGGTAATATTCCTTATGCCTATTTGTGTGATGCTGTGCAATTCATTGTAAATAGCACCCCATTGCACCTTCTCCAACATCTGCATTGTAGTGTGCTGTAGCGCATGCAATGCTTGGTGGTAGTGCCTTGCTGTGCATTGTGCTACAAAAAAAAGAGTCATATCTGATTTGGACAAGCTGGGATGTGTTGGCAGATCATTCTGGATTCATACATGTAACACATGGACACTGAAGTAGAACTAAAGGCAAAACTTTTTTTTTTTTAATGTTGGATAAAGTAAGGAAGGATTGTATTCCCTATCATTTTATTTATTGATTTATTTCAGGTTCTTATATAGCACCATCAATTTACACAGCGCTTATATATATATATATTGTACATTCAAATCAGTCCCTGACCCTCAAGGGTCATACATTCTAAGGTCCCTAACTCACATTCATACATACACATACTAGGGCCAATTTAGACAGGAGCCAGTTAACCTACCAGCATGTTTTTTTGAGTGTGGGAGGAAACTGGATGGAGTACCCGTTCCCGGAGATAACCCATGCAGGCACAGGGAGAACATGCCCTCATGTGACTCATTTGGAAAATTTACCTACATTTCCTTTCCATAGCTAAAGCAGGAAGTGATAGGAAATTCCTTCAAAGTGAGAGAATCCAGAGTTGTCACCAGAACTAGTGTCCCTATTGGAAGATTTCCCCTTTAATTCTATTCTGGGGACAACTCAAAGTTTAGGATTTTCTCTCACTCTTGGTGATAATTGTAAATAGCACAGATCGAATGAATCTCCCTACCAGACAGCAATAAAAAATCTCCCTACCAGACAGCAATAAAAAAATGACAGGTGTTCTAATCCATCTCCACTGTATCCAAAAATCAAAAACGTTTAGCTTTAGTTTTACTTTAATACACCACATATATGAAAATGGGTTTTCAGAGTATCTGCCTCCCCAATTTC